ACTAAACATCTATAGATCAAACATCTGGACAAAATAAATGTGTATATATACATATCATATATGTGCATATTATATATACCTCTCCACATTTCAAAAGTGCATGAAACAGTCATCAATATAAATGATATACTGTGACGTAAATCCTAATAATTTCACAAGTTTGATATATAACATGGGACATGTACTAACAGTGGAATTATATTTAAAATAAACACCATAAGATATCTGGATAGCTCATTTCTCTTTAATGATAAATAATATAATTAGCAAAATGTAATGCAAACCAATTAAATTTAATTAAAGTGAATTAAAAATCAATGTCATTCACAATTACATAAAATTCCTAGAAATAAATACGTTAAAATGTACAGGGTTTTTTACTGAAAATCACAAAATATCTCTAAGAAATTAAAGAAAATATATTATAAATTGTGCTGCCATAAACACAAGTATGTGCATTTCACTGCAGAATGATGCTTTTAACTCTTTTAGGAAGGAACGTAGTATGGGAATAGTTGGGTCAAAGAGAACCTCTAATTTTAGTTTTTTGAAGAATTTCCATACTTCTTTCCATAGTATCTGTACCAATTTACACTCTCACCAACAATGGAAAAGGGTTCATTTTTCTCACATCCTTGCCATGGTTTGTTATTGGTTGACCCATAATTTCTGGAATGAGATGAAATCTCGGTGTTGTTTTCCTTTAACAACCCATATGCCTATCAACAGATGAATGAATAAAGACAATGTGGTATTTATACACAGTTGAGTACTACTCTGCCATGAAGAAGGATATAAAGTTGAGGCATTTTTAGGTAAATAGATTCATTTTGGGACCACAATTTTAAGTGAAATAGATCAGACACGCAAGTGTAAATACTGCTTTATTTCTCTTATGTGATAAATCTAAAGGGTAAATTAGGAGCAAATGGAGAATATTGGGAAACAGGAAGAATTTGTTCAAATTAGCAATGGGAAAAGGGAGTAAAAAAGAATGGAAAAAATAGAGACAGTTTTGTAAACAGGAGATGTAGAAGAATTGTAAAAGGGAGGGAAAGAAAGTGGGAAAAAAGAAGAATTAAGATGTGTAATGTAGAGGTACAAATTCCCCATGATGAATGTGATCATTATGCATGGAAAAAAGTATCTCATTAATAATAAAATAAACAGAAATTAAAAATTGCTTCCAAATGGAAAAGTAAGACAATTTTTATGTATGAAAGTAAACAAATATTTTTTAGAAATAAAAATCACTCATAAAATAAAAAATATAATAAATGGCTTAATCAAAAATTTAAATACTCCCTTAACAAAAGAATTAAAGCACCTACCTAGCAAGCATGAGGTTGTGAGTTTGATCCCTGATACCAAAGGAAATAAAAAAGAATTAAAAAATTCAAGCCACAGACTACAAGATGATATTTACAACTAACATAATAGTTCACAAAGGGATTTTATCATCAATATGTAAAGAATTACAGTGTAACAACAAAGGGATATAAGAACAATTAAAATGGGCACGTATTTCAAAAAGTGTGATTGATCATGCATTTTTATATCAAGGAAATGTAAATTAGTATCATAATATATTACTTGACAGTCATTAGAATTACTAAAATTATATAACAGTGACCTTTGGTGTTGGTGGGGAGTATGTTACAGGACCAATGATGCTATTAAAGTCCAAAATCCAATTTCAAATTCTTTGTATTAAGAGTTGTGGCATTTGCATATAACCTACACACATCTTCCCATGTACTGTAAATCATATCTAGAGTATTATAATAGCTAAGGAAATATAAATGATTTATAAGTAGTTATTTTAGCAGTTAATTTAGGAAACAATGACAGTAAAAATAGTACATGTTTGGCACACAAACAATTTTTTAAAAATAATTTTTGATCTGCAGTGGGTTGAATTCATGGGTAAGGTTGCAGACACAGACACACACACACACACACACACACACACACACACACTCATGTATTCAGGTAATTCTAGTGTTTGGACATGAAATAGAACACATAATTCCCTCACAGGTACTGCTAGTGAACTTTGAAAATGTCACAATCACAGTAGAAAGTGCTATTTTTTACAACGTTAAGAAACACTTATCTAATGATCCATTGATCGTTTTTCTGCGTATTCAACCATGAGAAAATAGAAAATGTCACGGATAAAAATTACTCCTCATAACTTTATTCATTGTTGACTAAATTAAAAACATTCAATGTCTATTAGCAGATATATGGATAAATAAATGAAACATTTATAACACTGAGAAATTAAGAAAACACCCGATACAACATGAATCTTAAAAACTCTACACTGAGCAATAGATGGCTGTCTGGTTCATTTATGTGGAATTTTGTGACTTGAAAGCAAAAATCAGGTGATATACATGAGAGTAGTGTGTGTCACAGGGAAGGTTAGAAAAGGGACTGGGCACCTTTCACAATGGCACTAATCCACTTGCATGGGCTTTGCCCCCAAACTCTTATCTTCAAAACCCCACCTTTTAAACTATTTCACCTTTTAGGTGACAGAAATGTTTCGTATCTTGACTAATCCAGTGATCACATACGCACACATGTTTTTCAAAAGTCATCAATCATGTGCTTACAAGATCTGCGTATTTCTTTGTATTTCAACACCTCAACTTGAAAAATTGAATCTGAGTTGTACGATTCACCTGCTAGCATTAGCAATATCCAAAAATTATCTATTGTTTTTCCTGCAAATCTGAAAAATAATACTCCATAAGATCTATGGATAGAACAATCAAGTAGACAGAGTTTTAAAACAAGTGCAAATTTTATCTCAAACAAAACTTTGAGGTAAGAAGGCAAACATCATTTTTTCTGTCATAAAAAAGAAAACTGGATATTATTAGTGGGATATAGACTTCAAAGGAAAATTTTGATTTTCTTTTTTAATGTAAAAAAAATAATAGAAATGGTACAGAATTTCAAAACAGAATAATATGAAATTAACAGTGGTTAATTTAGTTACCATCTTCAATATAGTTGTTCAGATTACAAGATGTAGGCATGAAAAATTGATCAAACAGCATAAGCACAAACCATTCTTTTCAATGAACTAAAAGAAATCAGTAGTAAAATGATCTTAACTATCTTATATATGAGTATATACGATATATCTTATATAGTTGTATAAATGTATTATAATATATCATATTATGTAATACATAGTAATATACATTATATATGTAAATATGTAGTATAGTTGTCTTAGCTACCTTATATATATTTTTTCTTTTCCTTTTCTTCTGTTCTTCCCTCATTCCAGTTGTTCTCTCCTTTGAGAAGTTTCTTTCCCTTTAACAATATCTATTATAAATTTTCGATCTTATTTTTTTCTTTCAGTTTCTTACACTAAGGAGACAATATGATGTTTACCCACGTGAGTTTGATTTATTTCACTTATGAATGTGGTCTCTAGTTGCATTCACTTACCTCTAAAAGTCTGAAGTTTATTCTTCTTTATAGCTGAATAGTACTCATTATATACACACTTCTCAGATGAAGAAATACAAATGGCAAATAAATATACAAAAAATGGTCAACATCATTGGTCATTTGGGAAATGCATATTAAAACAACACTGAAATTCTCTCACCCCAGAAATAATGCCAATCATCAAGAAATCAACCAATAACAAATGCTTGCAAGGCTGTGGATACAAAGCAAGCCTTCTCCACCATTGATGGGAGTATACAAAGGTACAGCCACCGTGGAAATCAGTGACGATTCCTCAAAAAGCTAGGATTAGTTTTTTTTAATTCCCAGAAGAGTTAAAAACTTCGTACCACAGCAATATATGTGCACCTATGCTTATAGATGCACAGTTTGTGACAGCTAAATCTTGGAAACAACCCAATATGCCCATCAACTGACGAATGGACAAAAAAGACACGGTACTTTTATGTAAGGAAGCTTCTGTTTTCTGCCCACTAACTGGTCTGGCTTGTGTTTCACTGTATCTATTTAACCATCACCTTCTTCTGGGATGGACTGAGTACTTCATTCAGTGATTACTCATGATGTCCTGACTAGGCTTTCAGATTATTCAAGTCTTCTGCCGGCAGGGAAATTGCAGTGTATTCTCCTTCAACAACAGCATTCTCTGGGTTCTTTTAAAGTCCTGTACTGACAGTAAGACGTAAAAGATTTTTCCACATTATCAGTCATACTGAAACTAGACTTCATGATCAATGTAAAAATATCAAATTTATTCATTAAAAATAAACGTTAGACTTTTGATTCACATTGGGCCAATTCTTCAAACTTTAAAGAGCAGGGTTTTGTTTTGTTTTTTATTCCAACAGAACAACTCATTAAATTGTGTGCCTTTATTTCTCAGCAGAAAGTAGGGTACTCAAAACCCCAGAAAGGAAACATTTGGTTTGGCCTCCTTTTAGCTGTCCTCATTGAGAATCTATGGATAGCTGTGCGGAGGAAGCATACTGTTCAGCTACCATAAAACCACCAGCCCTGACGGCACGGAACAGTATGTTCCTTTTGTTGGTTTCACAGTCTCTGAAACTTGAAGGTGATGACAAGAAGAAAAGTTCACTGGTCAAAAGTGGAAAAATTACCTTAGAATAATTAGGAGCTGGATGCCCTTGCAGAATATTTTTTATCTAATAAAAGAAAAAGTTCAAATTTCAATGTGAAAACTAAACCAACTTTAAGTTGTTCTGAAATGTTGACCCTACCAAGAATATCCCTTTGGTCGCAATATTTATTTTCTATTAAGTCTAAAGCATAAGATTGCCATATCTAATTGCTCATTTTTAAATTAATAGAATAGAATAAATAAACATTAGTAATCTTTCAGTCAGGCTTGGGCATATTAAAATTTGTAGCTTTTAATCTGGCAAAAAATAAAAGATGTTGATATTTTATATAGTTTTTCTGAAAGATTACAAATATCTTAAGTTACTGTGGAAATAGTGAACTACTAAAAGTCTCACTAATGAATGTCAGGAGTGATTTTTATTTAAAACTTTTGTAGAGGTTAGTGCCTTATTTTTTAATACATTTTTCATATAAAATGAGATTTGCAATTACTCTGCAGTATAAAAAAACTTAAGACTTTTATCATAAAAATCATAAAATGAGAGTATTAAGAAAGTATTTAACTAACATTCAGTAAGAAAAGAAACATGTTCAAATTATAAAACTTAATCAGAAATGAGTTTATCTGTCAAGTAACTTGTTAAGTCTTGCAGCCAGCTTGAATGAGAAACTGATCAAAAGGAGACCCCAGTTTCTGTTCCTAGTTTAACCACTAATTAGATGTGTGATCTTGGATAAAAATAGAGAATGTAAGAATGAAGCAAGAGTCCAAAAGACCCAAAGAAAAAGTTTCTCCAATAAAGAAAACCGTTAAGAACTGATTTTACAGTCTTGGTTTTAACAGAGGTATGACCAGGACTCATTAAGTGAGACAGTAGCTTTTCTATAAATTACCTGATTATCTCAGTTTAAAGTCACACAAACGCTCATGTTCGTCTTAATCCATTCCGTAGGAATAATGAGTTAACTTGAAGAATCTAACCCAAGACCACACACTCCAAGGCTGATTAACTAATTTTTGGAAAATCCACATCAGAATCTTGGGACATTACAGTCGTGATCAAAACTGATTCAGATGCTAATTCTGTCCCTCGTCAGCTTGGAATGTTAGGCTTAGTGGCAGAAGGAAAGTTATCAGTGATTTTTCTGTGATGAAATGCAGATTGTCTTAGGTGGCATCAGAATACCCTATCTTCTTTTTTAGTGAGGTATAAGAATTGCGGTTCCATCCTTCAAAATGGCACCTGGCATTGAGGGTTATAGCAGTGCAAGCTAATATAATTTTGAAATTGGTGTACTGTTGCATTTGGCTTGCAGAACTTTCTCTTCAAGTTCATTGTAAGAGTGCCTAGAAGAACAAAGAAAATTCAAGTTTGTGGGTTGAATGTCTTCTGTATGAGACTGTATATATATATATATATATATATCAGAATTTATCAGGACACTTGCTTTTATTTAACATACTAAATGGTAGCAAGGTGCTTGAGGCTATAGCTATCTACCCAAAGGGAATGCAAAAATCCTGAAATCAGTTTAGGTAAAGTTACAACAGCAGTCAGCAGTCAATTCTGGTTTTATTTTTGTGTTAATGTCTCAGAATGCCATTTATTAATTTGCAAAGAGAATATCAAATTTTAAGTGAACCGGAGCATGTGTATTTGCTGATGAACACATTACCTCTTCCGGTTTTATTGCTCCCTGAGGAAATATTCTTTATGTTGAGCTGACATGAACTTCTGTAAAACTTCCCTGCATTCGTCATGGTTTTCGCCTTCCGGGCCACACACATAACCCATCTAAGGCTTAATCCTTCCATAGCAGGGGCTAAAGTTTTAAATATAAATTCAAAGTAGAAGACCCAGAACTTGACTTAATTTTTTTATTCTGGCTGAGACTTCACTTAGTATTACAGCATTAAATTCAATCTCAATCATTGTGGGTACTTTCCAGCTTCAAATCTATGTGAAAACCCATGAGTCTTACAAAAGTTAACCCACTCAGGGTGTCCTTTTAGGTCTTCTGTCCATATTTGTCCCTTCTGATTTATTTGTTATTCGAGATCAATTGATCTCTTGAAGGAAGCTCCTTCTGGGTACCTTAAGGACTCTGGGCTCGGTCTGTAGCCCCTATGCTTAAGCAAGGGCCTCTGGTTGCACCAAGTCATCATACTGGGCCACGTAGCCACTGCACTAAAAAGGCATCTTAGAAGTCACTTCGCTGGCACAATTCCAGGGCACGGTCTTCTTCCCTCTGACAGCTAACTATCCCGTGCTCAAGGAAACTCTGCTTCTCCTTCTCCATGAAATGTGACCTGGTTCACACGCACACATCTGTGACCTTGATCTTGCCATGTGGGATCACGCCACAGTCATCAGTCTGCACGAATACCTCCAGACACGTCACATGCTGATTTTTTCTAAACCATAGATTCGTTTGACTACGCACAATTGTGTATAAATAGAACCATAAAATATGTGCATTCTGTTGTGTCTTTTTTTACTCAGTAACATGTTTTATGCTTTCACCCATGATGGTTTCATCAGGAATTCATTCTTTTTTATACTTCCAGAGTGAGACTTCATTACACACACTTTTCCATCCCTCCGCCCCTTCCCTTGATCCCCATCTGTATCTGCAAAAAGCCTGCCTCCCTGTTTCCAACTATCTCTCTTTTATTTTACTCTTTATTTATGTTTCGAGTTTCTCATATAAGCCAAAACTACATGGTATTTAACTTTCTCTGTTTGATTTATTTAACTTAACAGTGTATGCTCTAGATCCATCCGTTTTTGTGCAGATGGCTTGAACTCCTTCTTCTTTGTGGCTGAGTAAAATTCCATCAGCCTGTATGCCGCATTTTACCCAGCCTGTTGATGGACCTCTAGGCAGACTGCTTCCACTCCTTACCTGTTGTGCTGTATGCTGCTTTAAAGTCAGGAATGCACATAGCACAGTTGTGTGGTAACTTTAACACTTTTGGATATATTCTTAGGAAAGGAACAGAACCACGTGAAATTCCTTATTTTTTTTAATTTTTGAGGAGTCTCCATACTAATTTCTATAGTAGTTGTACTACAGTCCTTTACATCCCATAAACCACGCAAAACTATTCCTTTCCCTTCATCCCCCACATCTTCACCAGCACTTGTTTATGTGTGTGCTCTGGGTGATAGCTTTTGTTTTGTTTTGTTTTGTTTTGTTTTGTTTTGTTTTGTTTTGTTTTTTTTGCTGGAGTAAGATGGAATCTCATCACTGTTTTGGTTTAAATGGCCTTCCTGGCAAAAGATGACGTATATTTTTTCATGTACTTACTGACAATTGGTCATTGTTTAGAGAAGCTTCCATTCATTTCATTTTCCAATTTTTGAGGGAGTTGGGTTTTTTCTTCTTTGTATCTAAATATTAGTCTTGTAGTAGAAAAATAGATGCAAAATTATTTTTCTTATTTCATAAGTTTTCTCTTGCTCTGTTGTTACTCTCTGTTGCTCTGTTGCATAATCCCATTTGCTTATTATTATTCTTTATGGTGTTGAAATTTATTATGGGAATCCTTAAAACTTCAAGTATGAGCGACAATGAGCCATTGCCGATGCATGTAGCCTTTGATGCATTTCCTGTGTAAGTAAACTTCAAATCTTCAACTCTTGAGAAGCTTTGTAATTGGGAGAAGACACATATGTAGGCCTACTGCTAAGTCAAAATAGGGGCAGAGAAGAGAGAAATAGATTATTGTCTGATGTTTAGAAAGTCTAACCCAAGCTGATAACTGTAATACAAACATGTTTTCTCCTCTTACCTCAACCTTTAAAACTTTAGAATGATCTGGGCCTCAGAGTCATAGTTCACACCTAATAGAAGCATGGGGGTCAGCAAGCCCAAAGCCCCCCCCCACACACACACACACCTCTAGTGCATCCTGAGCCCTGCATGCCAGCCACTGACCAGAAGCTTTCTCCTTGCAAACCTATGTGAAGCACCCAGGTCAGACACCCCAGCACTGTGCTTGTCCCTACAAACCTCCCTCATAGCAACTCATGGGGTGTGGGGAAGTACGTGCCACTGTGGTCATCTAAAAGTGGGCCAAGGCTTCATGGTCAAGGATTCTGGGAATTACGGGTACCTGGAGAGTGGGCCAAAAGAAGAGAATGTAGACCTAGTGTGGCCATTTCTGTGCTGTTTTCTTTTATCTATATTTTTGCAATACTTAGGACTCTTGCACCTTTGTATTGCGTTATATCTCTAGTCCTATCTCTGTCTGTCTGTCTGTCTGTCTGTCTACCATTTATCTATCTACCTATCTCTCTAAGACAGAGTCTTGCTAAACTGTTAAATTGTTCTGAATGGACTTGAACTGGCAATCTTCCTGCCTCAGCCTCCAAGACTGCCAGTATCATGTGCCATGTGCTAGTACATGTGCCATGATACCCAAATGGGCATTTCTTTTGAGTCAAAATCCAACACCATTATAGTATCAACAGATACAGCCTGGTCAGCCTTTTAAAGTATCCTCTTCACGAGAAACTAAGGACAGAAAAATCCACCAAGTAGAAGAAATTGCCTAAGTATAAAAGTGGATGGTGAAGTTTTTATGGATTATCACTGAAAATGTACTAGTGAAATAACCAGATTGGGGGGGGGAGAGAGAACAAACACTGTCACAGACATATACACAAATGCATTTCTGCCAAAGTTGCATGCAGCTGTATCATTCACAAATGCTCTATAAAATATTTATTACAACTACTTAATAAATTGAGCCCTTACCCTGTGTGCTAGCCAGTGGTCTAGGATACTTATATGCACTGATCCTTACCATTTTACAGACATGAAAACTGAGGCATAGAGAGGTTAGGGGAAAGTGACTGCTCACATTTGCTTGCCAGGAAGTGGCATAGCCAATGTGCAGATCCAGACAGTCTGGCTGCAGAGTCCCCGGGCCTGGCCAGGAGGTTACTCTGTGTAGGTCTACTATGTGTTAGATTGTTTATGAGGTGTTTTATAAAGATTAGCTAATTCAGACTGTGGCAAAGGTATAATTATCTCTGCTTGACAGATGAGAAAACAGGGGCTAACTAATTTGCCAAAATTATAAAGCTACTAAATTGCAGGGCTGGATTTTAGTAACTTGCCAAAGTTATAGGACTGATAAGTGGCTAAGTTCAGTTTTCAATTTGATTAAATTGTGTTCAGGACACATGGCTTATGAAAGTAATGGGTAACATTTTTAAGTATGCTTAAGTGTTTTTTTTTTTGATTTACACATGAAGGAGTAAGATTCTTTTATGAGGCACTCTTTACCCTTTAAGCAGGCCTGATAAATGGGGCATCCCTCTTCTCACTACGCACAGGGGAGATGTGATTTGATTTCCAGTCCTGCAGCCGAAACTGAACCTGAGGACTGAAAGGCGCACTGTAATTGGCTTTAATGATATTTGATTTTTTTTCCCTGTAAAATAAAAATGTTTCTTGGACATAGAAACAACATATCCATTGAGAAGCAAACACTTTATCTTATTTGTGTAATAAATCTATGTATAAGATAACAGTGATTCCTTACTTCCTTGTGAATGAAATAAAATGTGAAGAAAAAAATATCAACACCAAATCTTTCAATACACATTCCTTGGTACATTCCAGAGCTTGGAGCACATACAGCAAAGTATGGAAAATGTGACCGCCAACTCCCTCCTACTTAGAAAGATTTAATTTTCCTTTGGAGCTCTTAGCATGAGGCTAGGTGCAAAATTTTATTACACATTCATCACATGTTTCCAAGTTGCCACTGAATTAAGCATGCACTTCTTAAATATAAGAGCAATTAAAACTGGAAAAGGTTCTCAAAGGAAGCAATAAACTCTCTGTCGTTGAACACATAACTACAGACGCGATGTTTACAATCATACTTCACGATGCATAATTTTTATGATAGTAGGTGTTCCCTAAAGAAATAGTTACCGATTTATTTATTTAAGCTATGCTTCTCCATCCTAAATAGATCCATCTTTCACAGATCCTAAAAATACTAGAAGGTATGAAGATTGCACTACCACAAACAGAGGGTCATAAGTAACTCTCAGGATGATTAGAAAGAAAATAAAACATGATCACTGTATGGAAAAATCGTGGCTCCTTGAAGCTAAGTTCTCTATGTAAAGTCACTTCAATGAGACTCCTATGCCAATATGGGTTTTGGGTACAAAGCATGGCATTAGTATTGCTGTTATGTGTGAATATTAAGATTTCCCTAACCATTTTTTTACAGCCATGCTATTCAAGTCAATGTATGTCATGGCAAAATTTATCCGTGATGTTTGTTTAGCTTTAGGTCTTGACTTTACAAGAATGTTTCAGCATCGAATGGGAAGTCTATGGCAGGAATGGACCCCACACAGCCTTTGGCACCAAGGACGCCTGGACTCAGTCCACACCTACCTTGAAGTCACACTCACGTATTTGGCAGTCCTGTAGGGGCATGGAGCCATGGGCAACCAGACCGCCCCAAATCCTTTCCTAAATGACAGGATCTCCTTGGAAGGATGCGAGCCTGCATTGCGGGCGGCACAGCTCAGAAATGAACGCTTGGCACAAAGGAAGACCAGAAGGGAAACAAACAGGGTGTGAGCGCCTTGCCAGCATCAACAGTGGGTGAAGAAACCGTTTAACTCGGTGGTTTGGAAAAACGGACCTTCAAGGGGAAGATTTTTTTCTTTTGTTCAGCATTTGTACTGTGCGTTGTTTTGATTTGTGATTTAAAATTCACTGAGCCTTTTTTTTTTTTTAGTGGTGTTGTTTGTGGCTTATTCTTTCTAAAGAAACAAAACCAAATAGAATTAGAAATAGCAAAAAAAAAAATGATTATTATCCAGATCACAATAAAAGTATTTTTAATTAACTTTTTAAAATGTTATGGGGGAAAATGTTTCTTTAGGTTTGGCTACATGCTTGATGGTACACTAAATGTTTCGTGTGGATTGTCTCATTTGAAGTTCATACTCACATTGATAAAGTATGTATTTTTTCTGTTTTGTTGACATAGACTTTAAGGTACAATGATCTAAACTGATATATGCAGTCATGCAAGCTCAACTGTGATCCGTGACTCTCCCTTTGTCATACGTAGAGATTTATGATGTATCACCACACTATAAAAGACACAGTACTTGCTTTGTCTTCATTAGCAATTATTTTACAATTTTGTAGCATAATATCTTATACTAAACACAAATTTAGATATTTTCCAGAAATTTCAATTCAGTCTATAATTTAGTTAATAAAATTTTTCTAAAGATACGTTTGTAACCTGTTATAATTATTTGATTAGACACATTATTATATAAAATTTTAAAAACTAAATTAGAGATCTAGAAATTGTACACCCCTACAATCAGTGTCCATGATAGTAACTAACCACACGGCTACTTAAATTTCAATTAAGCAAAATTGACTATAGCCTTCGGTTTCCATATTTAGTTTGCTACTCTTTTCTAAAGAGTAAAAATATTCACAGATGAAACTTGGAAACTCTTTTTGGACTAAAGAGAGAGAGGAGAAGGACATAAATTATGCTCCAAGACTGAAAACAATAGTAAACACAAAGAGGTTAAATTCCCAAGCAGAAACCACCTTGGGAATTAGTTTGCACTTAAGAAAACCAAGAATATTTTAAAGTTGCTAGAGTCATGGTACAGACACCTTGGAGGATTAAAATCCCCACGGCAGCCAATCCATGCAGGAGTCTCTGCCATTTCGTGAATTTTACTTCCAGGAACTTGACCAGGTTCTTCAAGTAAACAGCCGAGAAATTTCCTCTCAGGTTTCCTACAGGGAGAATGGAAAAGGAACCATTCTGACATCTTCCAGATGTCAGATAGAAAGTGATACAATGTGGTTAGAAGACAGTTCAGTGATTTCTTAAAACACTAAACGTATTCTTATCATTTGATCCAGTAATTGTTTTTCTTATTTATCCAAAGGAATTGAAAGCTTGTTCATAGAAAAGTAAAATATAAATGTTTGTCTCAGTTTTATTCATAATTGACAAATCATGGAAGCCATAAAGATGGTTTTGGTTAACAGATGGCTAAAATAATTGTGGTATATCAGACAATGAACTATGATACATCAATAAAAAGAAATTATCTGCTAAGGTACGAAAAATCATGGAAGTGCCAATCTGAAAATGCTACATACAGTGTGCTTCCAAACATATATGTTGCTAGAAAATGCAAAATCATGGTAAAAGGACTAATAATTAATAAAGGTTAAAGCACAAAGAAATGATTCAGGCAGAACACACAGAACTTTTAGAGAAATGTAAGGACTCTCTCTGATACTACAATAAAGAACACACATCACTAGACATTTGTCCAAACACAGAAGCTCTTCAAACTCGAGTGATTCCCAATGCAAAATATGACCTTTGCACAATTATGATGTGTTGGCATAACTGCATTAACTGTATCAAATAGGCCACTATGGTGAAAGATATCAATATTGGAGCTACACTTTTACAATGGCAGAGAAACTACATGAGAAACTTCTTTCAATTTTGCTCCAAAACAAAATTGCTCTAAAAATCAAATCTTGGTAATATTACATAAATGAAATGGAAAAATTAATTTCCCAGTCATGATTTCAAGTGTTTACTAGATGATGTGTTTCACTGCTGCTGAATTGTACAGTGCAGACAGTACTTCTGTCATCAAAAGAAGTTCCACAGAGTAGCTGTGTGCTGGCCACCTTGCTTTTTACTGCAGATGAAGAAGCAGAATCTTGTACTTTAACTATTCAAGCCCAGCCCTCTCTACTATCAGGGACATCTCATGCGAAAAATTAGAGGATGATAAATTAAAGCTATTACTTTGTAGTGCATAAGTTTCAGAGTCTTAAAACTTTGGCATTTTTTTTCTGTCTCAGGTTCTCATTTCTGTTCTTTGTTTCAGTTGCTGTCTTTTTTAAGAGGGATTTTTCTATAGTGTCAAAAATTCTCAACAGTTGTCATACTTTACAGGTATAGCATGAGAATTGGTCAAGAAGATGGAGTTTCTATGTTGGCCAGCTATATTTTGGGTAGGCAGCCTGGCTGGCTGTTTCACAGGCAACCCGAGTGAAACATCTGCGGATCTCTTCTCTTGGACTAGTCAATTTTTCCAGAGAAGCTCTCTCCAAACTCTTCTTGGGATGAGAATTTCTGCAAAAATGGTCCATACAAAGGAAAAGTCCCCTTAGAATTTCTCTTCTGTCTTCCCATGCTACTGATTTATAAGAACTGAAATAGGCGATTGCTCCATCAAAAAAATTAACTCTATTGAGTGAATTTGAGGAGAGGCTCTGGAACATATTTAAGTCCCCAAAAATAGGATAGAAAATTGTCTGCATTTCAAGGCAAGCTCAGGCTATTTCTAACCCATTACTAGGATACTTCATATGTTTCTTTTTCGTGTGTTTTATCTTTTTATGAAATTGGAAGAGTATCATCCCTAGACCAGTGGTCCTCTGATGTCAGTGGCATCAGAGTTAGGCATAGCATGTGGAAAACACTGGCTGCTGGACTTCACCTCCAGAAAGTCCATTTAAGTATGTAAGGAATGGGACCTACAGATTTGCATTCCTCACAAGTTCTACCCAGCTGATGTCTTGCTGGTGACACAGAGACCATACTTTGGGAACTTCAGCCATGAAGACTAAATCCATCCAAAGATCACCAGACAAGCTCATGGAAAATGACTTCAGGCTGCAGACAAAGAAGCTGAGAGAGCTTCCCATGCCACTTAAGCTGGCTTGCGTCGACATTTGTTGAAAGTCTTAACCAATTATATTTATAATGATAGGCAACACTTTGAGTGCTGCTGTTTGCATTTTTCCTTCATGTATTTATCTTGCCATTAACTGAACATGGTTGTTGTTGAAACATAAAGTGAGAAGGTGGACGAGGGGAAAAAAGAGTGTGGATTTTGGGACCCACAGACATTTAATTTGGCAGAATTTTGATACTAATCATTGTGGTTAATTATAAGTGTACATTTTGGCCGAAGTGTCCAGATCTTTGGTCAAAATTATTCTAAAGAAGATGTACACTTAAATCGATGGGCTGTGAGTGAAATAGTTCATCCTCCATAGCACAGTGAGCCACATCTCATCAGCTGGAGTCCTGACCAGGGCAGAAGACTGACCTTCCCTAGTGAGAAATTCTCCAGCAGACTCCTGCAGACTCATCAGTACTTGCCCCATCCGTACTTTTGGGTCTTCATTCTGACGGAGCCTTTGAACTGGCCCTGAGATGTGAGCTTGGTCCTGGGACTCTGGGGCCAGCTCTGCAGATTTCTGATTAACCAACCTCCACAATTTCAAGAATCAGTTCCTTGAAATCTCAGGTTCTCATTCTCTCTCTCTCTCTCTCTCTCTCTCTCTCTCTCTGTCTGTCTGTCTCTCTCTCTTGGTCTCTCTCTCTCTCCCCTTCCCCTCTGTTCCTTCCCCTCCTTCTCAGTCCTCCTTTATCCCTCCCATCCTCATGTGCATATTTATGAATACATCCTATTAGTTACATTCTCCTGGAGAACCTTAATATAAAAATAGAAGAAAAATATACACGCATACACACAGAGACATAGACATAAATATAGATATGATCGTTACAAAATATATAGTTAGTATACATATGTACACACATATGCTAGTTGTGATATATTTATATCGATATATAGATAGATAGATAGATAAATTTTCCATTCATAAGTAGCTATCATATATATGTATATATACATGTATAGTGATCTATACATACATAATATATGCTGGTTACATAAACCAATGTTTTGAATTACTTATCAGTTTAAGCAACCAAAGGAAAGAGAGAATTCAAAACAAAGCATTCACGTAGGTGACATGAAGGAAATGGCACTGATAACAGCAATCACAAAATCAAGAGGAATAATTATCTGGGAGCACAGACAGGGAAGAGTAATGAACTTCATCTTGAAGTTCATTTTGAAAATGTTAGACTTGACTTACTATGTAATGGCTGGGAAGAAAGTTTAGATGATCAGAAATGAAACAAACCAATCGAAATCATTAAAATAATTAAGGAGAAAATATATGAATTCTTAGATAATTGTGATAAAACTGTCAATATTCTAGCATGTATATATATATAGTGTAAGACCAAAATGTAATAAAATATATATAAAGGAAATATATCACCATCATTTTGTTATCTTTGTTTGAATACATGTAGTAAATTATGTTATATAAATATATTAACTATGCATGCATGATGCACTAATGCTTTTATCTTTGATACTTCAGATGAACAACTGGTTTTTAAAAATGAACATGTGTAAGATTTCAAATATTAATTATGTTAGAAGTATCAAACATGTGAGATCTTTGTTCTCACATATATTTGTGTCATGGTCATACAAATGTATGTATGCAAAGCAACTGTATGTAAGTGCAACTGGTCGCCTGTCACAAGCAGGTGAAGCATTTACTTTATTTTTTCCTCAGAAATTTGAGACACTAAGTAAATTCCCCTGAGAGCAAATAGTCAAGAAAGATCAGGTTTGATTTGAATCCCAGTTCCACGTGACTTTTGACTACACTTAGATGTATGGGATAGTTACCAGAAAAGTTTTATTTTTACTCAGGGGTTATCAAAATTAAGTATTTCTACTGGTTACAAATGCATCAAGAGGCCAAGCGTGGTGACACACAGCTGTAATCCCAGCATTGAAGAGGCTGAGGCAGGAGGTTCATCATGATTTCTAGGTCACCTTGGGCTACATAGTGAGTTGAAGGCCGCCCTGACCTATACGTGAAACACTGTCTCAAAAAACAAGCAAATGGACAAACAAAAATGGCTCACAAGCATTTTGTGGTTAATGGTTTTCTATTCTTTGGGTTCTGCTCAGTCACAGAGGAAGTTACAATAAAAGTTGTCTCATGGTGAGACACTGAATTTTACTTCAGCTACTGTCTCCTCCCACTCACCATAAAAAGTTTTATGTGGCACAGACCATAAAGAGTACAACTGAAGACAGAGACTCACACAATGGAGTTGATGTAATCCGTGCTCTGCAAACACTCTGGCCATATACACCATTTGTAGAAAAGCATAGTAAGACTTTTCAGACATCTGTTTTTGAGGTTACAAAAACTGAATCATCTACAGATTTCAAACGGGCTTTGAAAACAAAATATGCCTTATTAGTAACTAACACCAGTCAAAATGCATTATTTTAAAGAAATTGCTTCTTCCACTGAATAATTATTCTATTTTAATTTAGTTCAACATTGGGAATAGTTAATGTATCTAGGAACTTTTTTTAAAAAGCTAAAGTAACAGTGTGTATCGAATTAGACTCAATATTCATTGTCATTTCACATTTTCAAGCTTTGACAAAAACCAGGGAGAAAGCCCTGGAAGGTGATCCCCAACACTGTGCCATGAGGGGATGGGTCAGGAAATTGGGGTCTCCAGGTGAGGAAGCTCCTGGTTGCACTGTGGCTGGGCTATAATTGTCTAATCAGCAGGGACAGCAAGTGACCAGTTACAAATGCCCTTAAAACAGTGTCTGGAAAGTCACTCCCAATCGAGAACCTGGTTGGTTCCTGCTACATGATCTTTTCATAAGTCAATCAATTTGTCCCCTACAGGTGAAGTTTATTCAAATATCAGCTATATTCTTGAAAATTTTTACTTCTATTCCTGAGAGTATTATTCCACACCACAGCTAGCAAAATATAAATGAATAAAATAAACACAAAAACATGTTTTCAAAATTCTTAAGTAAATAAAGTGTAAGTTAAAAGCCACTTTG